GTAAGATTCTTGTGTGATATCTACAGGCCATATCTGGTCCCGTTTCACTTTGATTACCCTGTCAAACAAGTCAGCCTTCGCCCCTGGTATAAAGTAAACTTGGCACAGTATTCTGGCTTTGAAAGCGCCGTGGCCTAAGAGTTCACTACCGCGAGGCCTTCTTGGGTTTGCTTGTATTGTTTAAATTTCGTTACTATCTATTTAGTAATATTTACTTTGATACCCTGAACACTGAACGTCGGATAACGAACTAAGTGAACTCAGAAAATACGCCCCAACGGGACTCGACGGTCTCGCGGTCTGTCAGCGCTGGTGACACCGCTGATGGCATGTGCTTATGGTAATGTACTTATAGCAGAGCGTCCAAGTAGACAGACAACCTTCTTGCCATGCCAGACAATATTAACAATAGTCCCCACAAGAACACACGTCTAGATACGTCAGAAAACATGGAAGAAAAAATGGTATGGGTTTAACGCCCCTCTCAACACTATTAGGTTATTTAAAGGGCGGGACATCATAGTTTAAGGTCCGTCTCCGAGCCAAGTGGGAAGTTCGTGTAAAGAGCCTTTCCCAAGGAGACAACGTCGGACCGAGCTGAGGCAAAGATAGTGCAGCCTACGGTTACGAGTCTGGTAGCCTAACAACAAGGCTACCTACGCCACCTAAACATGGAAGAGGGGTCATAAAAGAACATGTTCACTCAGTAAAACCAACAAGATGGCGGCGCTCAATCAATAATATTATGTCCAATGAGACGTCAAACAATATGGCAGCACCGGAACATGATGTTCTCTAACGTCAAACAATATGGTGGCACTGGAACCCCATAGTTTGTGACATTCAGTGTCATTCTATTAAAATGTTTCTTCTTGCTAATCAGTCATATATAGGTATTCTGCATCAAGCATGAAGAAGCTGAGAGAGGAGATAACGGAGGTTGAGGGGAGGGGGGGGGTCATTGGGTCATTGTGTGATGGGGTGGGTCTCCCTACCTGGACTTGCGTTCGAACAGCACAGCGGTGAAAGCCGCGATATAGGTCGGGACAAAAGCCGCAGTGAGGAAAGACGAACAGCCAAGCGTTTTCCTGCCGATTCCAGGAGGGAGGGAGGGGGTGGAAGGGGAGAAGAAGAAACAAAAAAAATTTAACACTCTAAAGCACTGTTGGACCACTCGTCGAGAGGTGAGGAAACCCTAACTCAAAATGTTCCACGCGCACGGTAATAATAATTAATTACCAAACGCCGTTTTTCTTACACACGTGGAACACTGTGACTTAGGGCTCGCTCGCGCTCTACTACTGTAGTGGGACAGCTTTACCCCTTCATCTCATCGCTTTTCGGTCTGAAAAATTCTGAAGAAATTATGTCTGTGGCGACAGACAGCGCGTCTGTGTCTGAGCACAAGCGGGTAAACTTACTTGCGTGTGGTGGGTGGGTGGGTTAAAGGTAAAGCGGGGATTGAGGATATCCTTGTCAACACACGATGACCGTGTGAGTGACCATGAAGTAGGACTTGATTCTGATGACCTACGCTTTGTGGGAATCAGAAGACTTTGACCTTGACCAGAAAAAAGTCCGGATCCGACAGCAACGTATGGCAACGAAACATATTACGTTAACCATCGAATTCCAACCCAAAAGATACACAAGATGCGATTTTTAAAAAACGTCAGTCGACAACCAGGAATGCTAAAAGAGAGTGGATACATGACAGGTAAAAACGGACAATATGAAAAATAGGATTTTTTTTAAATATACAAAGTGGAATGATAAATAGAACTCTTTCAGACTTGTCAAGATCAAAGGCCGACTCCCTCAAAGAACGTTCATGCCTTATCAAAAAGTGACATTTCACAAAACGTGGGACGCTCTGCCTTGTTCGAGGGTGGAGATGGGGGGTGGGCGTGTGATGGTGATAATTGCTGTTTCATTGTGAGATTGTTTTTGTTCCCGTTTCATTCAATTTCCAGCACAAACTGACACCAAACTAGACAAATTGGTCTTTTCCAAGGTGGGCCAAATGGATTGTATTTACCCTGTGAGAGTCTGTCAAAGTCAAGCACCATCACGAAAAACCTACCACCTCCTAGTATTCATCACGACAATCTACACTGCATGCAGCAAGCACCATGCGCAAGACACATCATACATAACGTGTTCAATTAAAAGTATCTTTCAGGGACACAGCGATCTGATCTCGACCATCTGACCAGCACAGCAAAGTAAAGACAGACTACGTCGAGGTCTTCTTTATCAGAGAAGTCGGAACTGTTAAATCTAATGTGGAGTTTACACAAACAGTAATTGCATTATAAGGAAGAATTCATTGTTCACCACTCACTCTCAGGGGTTACAGTGTGGGCAGAGAGGAGAACTGTCTTCGCTTTGCATAAAACTCAAGAGAAATAGTATGGAACTTCTACTTTATGTTGTTAAAGGGTCATTTTTTTCCTACGAGATAAAAAGAAAGTGTATGGAGCCATTAATGTATGTTGTTATTGGGGGGGGGGGGGTCATTTTCTTGTATGAAATAGCGCCTGATTTGGTAATTCCATAAATCCATAGCTGGTACTTAAGAAATACCCGAACAGGAAGGGGGGGGGGGAGGGAGAAGTAAGCTGGGATGACATTTCAGATTCAAAAACATTTGCCGAAACGCATATCAAGACCCTTCTTCTTCTCTGTGTTTCTTGGCTGTGCTGGCGTACTCAAAAAGACATACATACACAAACTGGGCAGAATGCAACTTGTCACAAACCGCACATTTCACAGACGTACAACATGTCTGTGCAGTCAGGTATGGAGTTCTGAGACCAGAAGAAATGACTTAACCATAACCAAGTTACACGTTAAAGTTAAAAACTTACAAGATTGCTATATTGAAGTATGAAAAAATCACATACTTATATACTATCCCGTTTAATTATTTTTTAAAGAAGCTTTAAATAATATAAAACATGCCATGTTCTGTCTTACCTATACTATCCTAAGAAGTGTTATTGCCCTGAGTTCGTTCATGTTCTTCTCTGACCTTAAAATGAAACTTACATTTGTTGATTAAATTTGAACTGACGAACTCATTTTTAGTTCAGCTTTCAAAAAACAAAAAGATAAAATATTCAGAGACCAAAGCGGCACAGACAGTTGCATCCTGCCGCTTGTGTAAAGTTAGAAAAGAGAGTGAATAATCAAAATATACAACACAAAATATAAGGCACACACAGGCACACACACACGATAAATAAATGCAAGCACGGCAATACACCAAAAGGTAGGTAGGTAGGTAGGCCCCGCTCAACAGCTACTGGCAACTGAAAGGATCAAAAAGTTGAGCATGAAGATGCCAGCACAAGATGGGCCCGACAGGGCGGCCCTGCAGGCAAAACAGCACAGTAGACAGATACTGCTACCTTTTCTTGTCCTCAACCAGAATGGCTAACATGCACAGGGGGCTCCCACACACGAAAATATTTTGTAAAAAGTAAAAGCCCACCAGACGTCTGAAAAGTGAGAGAGAAACATGAAGAGAACATTTCGGGCGTGTTGATACAGCTCGGCTTGATGGCGGTGCAGGAGGTCCTGGGTCAAATCTCAACACAAAGCACTTCAGATCCTTATAACAGAGGCTTGTGTGCATGTACCTTTTAACAGAGGTTTCCGAACCTTGAACGTAAGAGGGGTTTCTGAACCTTATATAAGTTATAACAGAGGTTCCAAGCGTAAATAACAATTGTGTTGAAAAGGGAAGGGGAACAGGCGTTTACTTTTTTTTTTGGGGGGGGGGGGCAAAATTTCAAAGTTAACAGATCCCTCCCCTCTGTATGTCGATTTACTGTTGTTGGCTTTAAAAGCCGTTTACAAAAACCTGGTCACTACATCACACCAGTTGTAAACATACAACTCCGGAACAGAGGTTGCTCCTTATCAATCTCATTTGGGAAAAAGTGACCCAACAAGTTTTTAAAGAAAAAAATGTTTTAAGAAAGAAAGAAAAAACAAAACAAATAATAATAATTTGCGAGTGCGTAAACTTTCAGAGTGAGCATAATCCATCACAAACAAAAAGCTGTGAAAAAAAACATACTGTAAATTTAAAATAATAAATCAATTTTAAAAATTTAATCTGAAAGAAACACTCGGTGTTGCGATACGATATATTGACACCCGTGACAAGGCAAGATTCAAGTATGAATAGGTAGAGTTTAGGACAGTAGAGTTGAGGATATATCCATTATAAAAAGTAAAGATTACTTTACAAGAGGATGCAGACAGCGCAAGCTTAGAAAGAGAAGCACCATTATGTTTTTGCTTGGTATCCTACGGCGGCTAAGCGCCTAACTGCTAAAACCACACACGCCAGTTTGGCCCGGTGAATAGAGGGTTGCTTTCCCCCCCCCCCTCTAAAAGGTAGGTGATTTACGCTCCTATCGACGTAATTTAGATCATTTATGAGGCGAGCTTCCGACCTTGCTTGTCAGTGCCAAGCCAGCAGAAAGACCAAGATAGTCAATAAACATTTTCTCCCCACTTGGGCTTCGAACTGGGATCTCCTGTGTGCAACCGCCAAACGCCTAATTGCTGTACCACAGACACCAGTTTGGTCTAGTGAACAGAGTACAATAAAAGGACACATGGGGGAAAGACAGCAGAGGCCATGAAAAACAGTATTTATGTCACGACACGGTGGAATCAGGCGATCGTCATTTTCCCCCCGGCAAAGAGAGTTATTAGTTACACTTTTAAAGCGTATTCACTTGTCTTGCTGCTCGTGAAAATAATTACTGTCTATCTTGAAAAGAAGTCGCTAAAAGTGTGATTAAAGGTGGCTGTTAAAAATTGTCAGCGGTAAAATTAGCGAGAAAATGGTTGCCACAGCGTGGTAACTTCCAAAACTTGAGTATCCTTGGAAACTGCAAAACTTTTATTTTTGGTGTGTATTGAGCCCGAAAACGATTCGGATAAAAAAGCCCAACGGACGAAAAATGCCCATTTATTTTATTTTAAATTGTATTTTAGTACTTTGACGAGCACCTGATTTCATCACAATGCCACAAATTTGTTTTCTCTCTTGTACCCTTTCCCGTTCCTGTAAAACTATCCTCTAAGTGGTTATTATGTTGCAACAGGAGAGATAGGGCATGAACTGGAAGACTACTCAAATGTCTCCACTGGCATGCAAAAGGATCAGCAGAATTCTAAGACGCTTTTTTTCCACTTCAGTTTGTTAATTCAAGCGAAGATATCAAGTAAGTGCAACTTTAAGTATGATCATTTCAGTATGCAGCTGAGAAAACAACTGGCTACGTTACTCAAAGTTAGCAACTAATCCTACCAACAATATTAAACGGCTAGAGATATTGTACAGGCTTTTGTTGAAGGTGAAGAAAGAATGTATGCGTGCAGTGAATTGGGGGTACGTAGACTCTAGAATACTCAAAAAATGGTGGAATGGTATGGGTTTAAAGCCCCTATCAACACTATTAGGTTATTTCAGGGGCGGGACCTCCTAGTTTAACGTCCGTCTCCGATAGTACCCCTAGAATACTCATTGATTGTAAATATTCACCCTACCAAATCTGAGTAAAGAGAAACAGTAAAGACCCAGTAATGGCTATCTGGTGCTGGAAAAGAGCAAGACAGATAGACCGAAACAACGGTGGCAAAATAAAGGAAGACCTACCAGTGACAACCTCCACCCACCCACTCCCCATGCCAAAGCCTGGCATCAATTAAAAGGTACGAAGCGGACAAACATTATTATAGCACACTAAAAATATGAAATGAAAGATGAGGGGATATATATATATATATATATCAGATGGGACATAAACCCACACCCGTGAGAACGCCCTGCACCTTGTGCATGGTGAGCATGGCCAACAAACCAGCTGATGGAAAACTTGTGTAAAAATATGGGAAATGAAACTCAAAAAAATCCCTTTTACCATGAGAAATGGAATAAGTGCATCAACCGTAAACAAAGTATTTACACAAAAAATAGCCCCCAGACATGTATACTTTAAACTTCTGCACCCAGTAACTTTCACTCGCAATATTATATAAATAACACAGGATAAAATCAAAATACAAGTATAATATTATTAATTATGGGAAATTTATGACACAAACAACAGCATTTCTTTTCCGAAATGGGAAAAGGAACTCAGCCATACACCATTTTTCTTCAACAGCAGTTTTGCTCAATTTACATACACCTCGTAACCCGCATTATCACTTACAAGTACGGTAACATGGACTTGACATTCTGCTATACCGCCTGCTTTATATAAAGCAGTAAGAAAGAGACCAGAATCATATTAGATATTAATTCTATTCTACATTTTACCAATTTACATAGCTCCTTGTTCAATTCATACATTCATTTATTAACCCTCTTAAATAACCTAGTAAATAAATTTGATTCAAGGCGGTCCATTATTAAATACCCAGGAAATTACCCCAATTTCACCGCCATAAAGAGTAGGAAGTAATAAACTGCAGCATGGAGAGAACTGAATCGTAAATATTTAACGCCCCCTCCATACATTTCACACCATTAACCCAATGAACCCTGACCTGAGCCCAAGAAGACGCGTCCCCTGGATTCCTCAGCAAAAAACAAAAGCCTATATGGCTGCACACTCCATGAACTCTGCGTGCCTTCTTTATTCAAACCAATTCCCTCTTCCTTGAGCAGCTTTGACCTTTACAGTGTTTACCACAAATCTACAAAGTCCTTTCAACTTCATTTTTCTCCTTTTCATCCATGTAAGGACTACTGTTCAATGGTACACGATCACACACCGATATATCGGTGCATCGGGGTAGGGGCAAATAACTCGCACACCGATATAACAGTGACACGGGTTTATTGGTTTAAGATGGCGAGCATAATTCAACCATGCATGTCGGTGCCAACCCGGACTAAGGACTCCGAGGGTTGCTGCAGTATCCCAGCAGACAGACAGAGATACTCAATGGGGATCGAACTCACAACTTCTGTGCTCAACAATGAGAGTCCAGCCATTAAATCATAGACACCTGTGTAGTATGGAGCGACACTTATCATAAATTGATTATAATAAATTATTCATGAGAAACATTGGCCAGTTTATATAGGTTCAGCACGACTTATGTCATCAAGCCCAACACATACAGACATTACACGTATAATGAACTATAATGTTAGATGTGACATAATCATTAGACACTGTTTATTGTTTATATACACCGTAGGTCGGTCATAAAAGCCTTCAGCCGGGAAATGACTGCACATGGTGAAGTAAAATTGGTTGTTTTTGTTTGTTTGTTTTTTTTTTCAAAAATCTGTTTTGCATACCATGAAATTTTCCAAGACCTACTATTATTACTTACCACAATCTATAGAAAGCTGTCCTTTTGTGTCAGACATTACATTGTTAAATTTGAAGAATGGATGGTGAAGCCAAGAGAACAGAAAGTCCCATGACTTGTTTTTATCAAAATATTGTTATCACCAAACATAACTAGCATCAAATCTAGAGGCGTGCAGCTGAAACTGAACCGGCAAGAAATTAAAGTTGTCACTAAATTCGTTCGAACAAAAATATGAGACAAAAGAGACACTTGCAATGTGACTGGTACGCAAAATTTAGAAATGAAATTCAAGTGATGCAGCGCCTGATAAGCTCAATCAATGAAACACTTGATTATGACGCTGGAAACCCTGGTTCAGTTTCCACATGGGCATTCTGTAACCAAGAGACAGTATGAAGTAAATGTCATTCCAATGTTTTCTAATTTATCCCATCCTATCAGAGACTTACATCAATGAAAATTTCACACCTCTTGAATATATTTATAGATATGTAACATACACACATGGTGTTGAAAAGGTGGTAGAAACTAGGTTCAAACTCAATAAACAGATCAGTCACAAAAAGATTTTGTTTAGTTTGTTTCTGGTGATCGGCTAATAATTGCTGTGAAGGGTTACAACAACTTACACCATAAGATAGTTTTACAGCTCAAAACAACACAGAAATAAAACTGCCACAATTCACGCTGGAAAGAAGAAGCAAAAAGATAAATAATAACACAAGAATGGAATTTGATCGAAGATCTAAAGAAAGCACATTCACAAAACCCGCAACCAACATGAAGAGAACCCACCTCCATACGCAGAACATGGAGATAAAGAGAGTGCCATTGATGGTGAGAAATGCTGAAGATCGCAGTGTCTCTGGGATGAACTTTTTCACATAATAGCGAGGACCTCTTCTACGTAGAAGACCAGCGACCTGTGGACAGAAACAAAGGGATACCATCAATTTAGCTTGAGTAAAAAGAAGCATGTTAACAACAACAATAACATAACAGCTATTTATTGCTTGGGAAGAGCATGCCAGACATTTGTTAGCTTTGTTTGTTTGAGTAAAGAGAAGCACATCGACACAGTAATGGTATTTTAGTGCACGGTAAAAGTAAGACAGACAGACAGAAACGACTAAGAGAAAGAAAAGCGGTGGGACCTACCAGTGGTGCCCTAAAACCACCCGCATATGACAGAAGCAATCAAGGGGAAAGTAAAGAAGGACCTACCAGTAGCACCTCCAACCAGACCCTGAGATCTCACTTTTGTGTAGAATAGGTTTTAATTGAGTACATTTGAGACAGGGAATGCACATAAGCATAGTTTCTGAAAAAGGGATAGAAGACACATATATATGTGTGATATAACCCTATCTCTAAAATAACAATTTTTAAAAGAACAATAGAGGAAATGACTGGAGAATACAAGTGAATATGTCTATTCCAAAATCTACTTGTGCTCCTTGAGAAATATGCATATTATATATTCCTTCATGGTCAGCATGATGATAAAATATTGACAAATGGACAATACTTTTCAAAAATTTCACTACCCAAGAAACACTATCAAACAAAAAAGACCCCCAATCACAAAACATAAAAACACCTCACATTCATAAAAGTTTCTTTCTTCAAACATAAAAAAATAATTCTGGTCAAAGTTTTCTGAACAATGTAGTGTACAAACAGCAAAGACATGAAAGGTGAAAACGCATGCCGAAAGTTCTAGTTTTTTAAAGGCCAAGAACTATTTGAATTAAATGAAGTATAAATTATCTATTTCCCTTCTGTTGTTTCATACTGATACAACTAACTGAAAATAAGTTGGCTCAGCAGCAGAACGGAGCCGTGATACCAAAACTTCAAGTGATTCGTTACTCAATAAATATTTTAGACACAGTCAAGACAATCAGTTAGAAAAAAGACATGTCTGCACGACTCACTCTCAGAGTTCTTGTCAAAGCTGAAACGTGTAAGTTATTGTAAGCTTTGTGGTCAATGCACTGGTACAGTTTGAATTTTTTAATTTATTTTTTAACTGAAGGGCAAAGAGAGCAATAATGTTGTTTTGCATGAGGAGACTCATTCTGTAGAGAGAGGTGATAAGGTCACAGAGGTCTTTTTTGGGCCAACATGTCACAGTAAACATAAGAAATTTGGTTTGATAAATCTTGATCAAGGACACAGCTTTAATTATAGATTGCCTTAATCTTAATCACCTGATAATCATTTGAGAGCGTGCATACTAGCCTGACTGGTATAGATCATGACCTCAAGTGAGTTCTACTTTGTTCAAAGCCTTCATCAGATATTAGAAGAAGACTTTATCAAGAGTAAACGGTTAAATTTTTCTCCTTAACAAAAATAATTTGACAGTAAAAAAAAAAAAAGATTTACTCCCTCACTGCATCTCACTCAAAGCATTTTAAACACACTTCTCAGTCATTAGAATGCATAGGGAGTTAATGCTTCCACAAAAAGGGCAAAATGTTGTACTATTACCAACGCTCTCCAGTAGAGCAGTTTGATTTCCATTTGCTCTCATTATCTCATGATAATAAAATCTAGGTCATTAAACAACCTGACCTAAATCAACACGAGCCTGAAGAGCTTTCATCAGGACTACAACTAATTCAAGAGCAGACACAGTATTGCAAATACAATTGTCCTGATCAAAGTCAACAACTTCCAACCTAAAGATAGGATACTTGCATTCTGTTTTCAATATAGAGTCCTACAGTTGTGTCCTGTGAAAGATCAGGGCTTTGCCTTGATATAAAGACCAGATGGAATAATGTAGCCTTTTTTTTAAAGAGCATCTGAGCAGAGGAAAGAATAAAGTATAATCATGATCGCCGATGTCTGTCGTAGATCTGGTACTTGATGATGTTATACTCACAACATGCAGGCTTTTACAAGTATTCATACTCAGAATTAGCCCTAAGAAACAGCAATAATACAAAAGAACAAGTGTGCTGATTTGGTTGAAGGTCTGATGCGATGTTTCTGGTTTAATTGACAGTCTACTGACGGACCATCATCTGACAACACAATTGGTTTAGTTGAAGGTCCAGCATGTTTCTGGCTTATACAGGTTTGGGACTATCACTTACCAATTAAGTTCAAGATCTTTTTCACGGGTCCCGGCACCTCTTCTTCTTTACATTATTTGTAGTCAAACCGTACAGTAAAGTTCATACACAAACGTAAAAACACTTGATTTGAAGTGCTTTTTTACCCCTGACTTCAAATATGCAACAGTAGTATTGATTTTTTTTATTTTCATGACTACATCAGATGTTTCACAGAGGTTTTGACACCAGAGAAACAACATAAAAGTACAATAATGTACAGCCTATCAACGTTTAATAATATACCTACATAGTACCTCAAAGAAACGGTGAGGGGAGCAAAGGAACAGGTGTACATGACATTTATTTGATGCCCAGAGACAATTATAAGTAATAATCACATCCGTTATTAATTCCTCTCCCCTCAAGGCCAGCAATGGGCATTGCAAAACAATAAGTAATACAGTAAAACCTCAGTATAACATACTCGGCTGAAAATGTATTCTCAACTGTAACTTAGTTTAACTTTTACTTCCTGAAGTCTGGAGTCTAAATTTTAATTTTCACTCTTTAAAAGCTATTCTTTTCGCTAATAACATTCACTTTGCAAAGGATTTTAGTGATCTAAAGTTTGTTTATTACAGACATTGTATATTGTGAGAATAATTAACATGGCAAAAAGTGATAGTTTTATCGTACTCAGGAATGTGTCATAATCTGCAGTGAGAAAGTGAATTTTCCGTAGTAGAAGTACATGATGTAAGTACATGCATATTCGAATCCAAGACCTTATGGCTGCAAGTCTGAGAGCCTAACCACTAGGCCACCAACACCAGAAGACATGAATAATCTTTCCTGTCGCCACTGATTTTACCAAGGTAGCCTATTGAATTAAAATTATGAGCAGGGGCAAATATTTTGTTACATTTCTCGGTTTTGAGTTCCAGGCAGTTAAGTTGGACTTCGGATAAGTTTATCTTTCTTTATTCCCTCGACAACATCAACTCATTCGTAGTCGACTGCATCATTTATTCTTATGATCAGTGTAGCAATGAAGACTATAGTAATATGTTAATATGGGGAAGGATTAGTATCTAGCTAGTTCCATTGATAGTACTTACAATCAATCATTCTCAGATCTCTAGACATATGTCAATGCAAGTGGATGCTAAAATTGCCTTCAGTTGTACTATTGATCAGAAGTGAATGATTCGTTACTCTTCGATCCATGGAGATGAAATGAGTAGAGAGGATAAGTGTCAAGTAAAAGGACAGAGAAACTTTTTGTTCCAGAAAGTTAGGAAAAAAAGCTCTTCTACTGCCACATGATTTAGGGGATCAGTTGCTCAAAAGTTATAATGTTTGCCTGAAAGCCTGGATGTTCAAAGTTCAAACATCACCAGCACAGGGGTATTCTTCTCATGATTTCTAACAACAATCCCCCCCCCCCCCTCCCCAGATCTTTTAGCAGATAATCAATCGAGCACCTAGTCCTCTCGGATTTATAGACCAAACATTTTGGAGGTCCCATGAGGATGTTCCGCAGACATTTAAGATCCATTGGCAGTTTAAAATTTGAAAAGGATCAGCCCTTCAGGCCACCACATGGGCAAAAATTCAAAATTTATTCCTCCCACGAACAAGCTACTCTCTATTTGGTATATAAATATATAAATAAAGGTATTAAATGAAAACCTTTGAAAACGCTGCCTGTCAGGCAAGGGATGATTCTACACTACATTCTGTAAATAAAACAGCGTACTTAAAATCAGCTGCATAGTGAGATGACGATCATACAGTCAGTTACTCCCAAAGTTCTAACAAGAGTGTATGATAAAAAGTAGAAGACACACACTATATTTTTATCTGCTGAAACACAAAGAACAAGAAATTATTGTTTGTCAGTAGATGTAGATTGCAAACTTTCAGATACTGATTAGTTGGTATCTCCATACGTTACAACTTCAAGGTTTGAATTTACAAGCAGTAGGAAGGTAGGTCAACAAACTTCCTGCCATTCAGAAGCACAGAGGCTTCTCAGTCACCAGTGCTTAGGAACAAAAGTGAGATGATTTTTAAAATTCAGAGCAAAGAACAATTTTCAAATGCTCAAAAACGTATAGCACAAGAATTCAAGTCTAGGAGAGTGGGCTATTCAATCAAATAACTCTTGTCCTGTGTCTGTACCGAGATGCGAATCGTATCAGCAACCGAATACGCCGGACGTTCCGGGTAGGCCGCCGGGTTCACTCAGTGTGTACTGTTGGTGTACAGTGAGCGCGCCGGGAAACGTGTGTTTTCGCCATGGATACCGTGGGATTGTGTTAATCGAAGATGAAAATAACGCTGTATCTGTCATAGCTTTTTATTCATAAAGTGTTACAAACATATGAATAACCCCCTCTCATAAGCTGATAAGACATTACGAGTAGTTACGCCTCCATTCGAATTTTAAAAACCTTTCTAAACGCTCTTGTTGTAATGATCTGGGGTTCGAAAGGGGATAATATAGGTCAATTTCTGAATGTTTTTCACTCAAATTGTTCTTTGTACCTGCACAATGGTATTCAAAATAATCAAATAAGCTTATTTTTTATCAGGTAGAATCATTTCATGTAACAAAATCAAGCTCATTTGAAAGATTTTGTATAGGAAAATGGAAGTCTAGTTTCCTGACTATCCTTTCGAGCTCCTCATGTCTAAGTGGGTCAATTAGCTCTATAATTTCATTGGACGAACATCTAGAGCTACCAACTTGGCGTGTTTTGAATGAGACGTACGCCTCGGTTACGAACCAACGCCGGCGGTTCAAGAAGAAGGCCACAAACGCACACAGACTCATGCAGACTGACGCACACACACTTGAGCTACGTGAATGTGGATCCTACTCGGGACCCGAATTCAAGGGGAGATGGTGCTCGGAGCGCATGCGCTGAGCCAGGGGCTAGACTGACGCGGGACCAGAACGAAGGCGAGGTGCCGAAATAGGCTCATCGGGCGACATAAACCCGGCCCCCACAGGACGAGGGTTAGATCTAAAGGCACAGGGCTGGCATTGTTCTAAAGTCCAAAGTCTGACAAGTCAATTCATCAGCAAGATAATGATAAAAAAGAAAGACTTGACCAGATTTCAATGTCAAAAATGTTGACCTAGAATCTATATCTAAATTCTAGATTAGATCTAGATTAACAGAAAAGTAAATTGACTTGAGGGGATTAAAACTGTCCTTCCAGAATTCTTATATTGCAATCAGAAAAGGTAGAGGCCACACCCAATCAATTACCAAAATGTCATTTTGCCTCTTACTAGATCTAATACTTATGTTAACTTATAAGATATTTGGTAATTTGGAGTCGCACTTTTTTTGTGTTGTTCACTGACCATCACCACGGTACAGTAATATTTCATTACTTTGGTCCTGCTATATGATCATTAGCTTGAGGCAACGACTAGTAGTTTATCACAGAACACAGATACAAACATTATGCCAAGATTTCTATCAAATTGAAAGTGTGCAACTGCTCATCATTCAGGTTGTTGCCAAGGCAAACAAAGAAGAGAGGAGTTTTCACGTACTGTTCTTCACAAGTTGGTAACAGTAAACATACGTACAAAACGCAACATGTAATACAGAGATGTACGTATCATTACCAAATACAATGTGCCATATATCTTCAGTGCCTCTTTGAAAACAACTTTCATAACATCAAGGGATGCAGTCGTGCAATAAGGAGTCCAACAGTGCCCTAACTCATAACAAGTGTAGGAAACTGTAACAGGCTTGCTAAAGATCGCCATGTTGGAGTCCCGGGCTGAATGCAAAATCATCCAATGAAAGCTGGTGTGCCCTCTCCTGTTCGTAAAATTGACATTTTGACCTGAACCTTGAACTGTCAGGCCTCAGCAGACCAACAACATTCGCTGGCATTGTGGGCTATCATGTTTCGCAGTCCTTGATATCAATCAGTCTAATTAATGATAATCGCAAATCATATCACTTTCCGTCATTCGAAATACAGTATGGGACTTAAGTAGTTTTGCTAAGCCGCACCTTGTTAAAAGGGTGAAAAGCCATGGATTTAAACGCTATCTTAATAATAATAATAAT